GTGCTCTCTTGCGCTGCTCTCTCGCCGCTGCTCCCCCTCTCGATTGCCTCATTGCAACGTCTCTGGCCGGCGCCTCTCGTCCACGTCCTTCCCGTCCTGCTGCCTCTCGTACGCTACTCTCACTACTTATGCTATTGCAGTTTTTATGAGACTATCGTTTCGATGCCTGTCGAACGTGTGCTGAACAAAAGCTGATGGATCTGTATTTTAAAGTTTTAGTTTCGCAGCCGCTTAGAATCACTGAATAATTTAAATGTGCAAAAAATACTTACGATTTCCAAACATGCAAACTAGGTATTTTGACGTGCTAAACGAGAAAATAATATTAAATTTGCCCAACAAATTGAGTTTTTCTTGAAATTTTGAAATGATTAGTTCTGAAACCATGCTTAGATTATTTCAGGAATTATACTTTTGGTTCTTGAACAATACTTGGATCCTTGTTCGCAAAGTAAAGACAAATCAATGTTTATAGAAAAATGTGATTAAATATTATTTTGCTCGCTAGTCAGTGAGAACATTTCATTGCATATAAAAGTAGGATTAATTGTAAATTTTCCGAAGAATTTTAAATCGTATGAACTCTACTGTATAAGAGAAAAGCTTTTTACGTAAATTATTTCATTATGACTTTTTTGTATTAAATGGAAACTCTACTGTAACATGTATTGTAAAAACACATGCGAAGAACATGTAATAATCTAATTTGAATACATTTTAAAGAAAAAATTTATTAATTATATTGCTGGTGAGGTAGATACCTTCTAATAATTAAATATGGTAAATTAAAGAAGTTGGTATCAAAAATTGATTTTGCTAATGATCGTACTCTTAAACAAGACACACTCTCAAAAAACCGCAGAACTTGGTTTTCGGCCCAAAATCTGTAAGCTCTGAGGATGATGACTACGCTATCGAAACGATCATTAGCAAAATAAATTTTTGATACCAGACATCTTTAATTTACCATATTTAAGAAAACATTAAGCTTACAAATTTCGTAAACTACAATTACCACACTTCAGCATTAACTAATTTAGTATTGAGCAATGTTTTGCACCTGAAGTGATACCCCATACAGTAGATCTCCTCGGTTCCGGCGTTCCGGTACCTTGGGAACAAAATATGAAAACAAACAACAACAAACAATGCAAAAGACAAACACTTCGATTTATAATTGGGCCATCATCTGTTACTCAAAATTAATTAATTTTCTACTTAACTGTAGCAGTTCTACGAGTGAATTAATATTATTAGTAAAAACGATAAAATATCATTATAAATTCTATTATTTTTTAATCTTATTATATTTTTTATATTTACATAGGGACAGTGCTATCACTGATGCAATTGTTATTAAGTGTGATTTATAATTATTAAATTATATTATAAATATGTTCCTCTTTCTATTAAATTAATTCGAGGTGCCTTTCAGAACGTTGAAGTTTATAAATCAATCACTGCATATAACTAAATATATTTAGATTAGTGTCGTAAACGAGCTATTCCTATCTCGAATCGCCTCTGAGTGAATATATCTTGACCTAACGTGATCTTACATTTTGACTGTTCTCGACTGTACGTATGATGTCAGTTTTCTTCATTGTTGATATTAACATTATATTCCTTTAAACAGTTATATTCATGATATTCCTTTACACAGTCGTGATTGTCAAAAAATAATCTTTAAATTGTGACGTCGCCTTTCGTGGAAAAGGAGGTTGTTCACCAGACAATTAACACCAAATTTGTAATAATTTATTGTTTTCACTTATAATTCAAAATCGTGGGGGCACTCTGTTTATTAGTGGCGAGAAATTCGTACACGCGGGAAGATAATATCCACAATTTGTACTTTAGGGCTAGTGACAGTGTATGCAAAGTGCATAGATCTTCCCGCATTACATGCAAGCCCAGTATGCGCCACGTAATGACGAACAACAACAGATTAAATGTTAAACTATTTTCTTTCTAGAAATATATTTTTTCTTAATTCAGCACTGTGCTCTGCTCGGGCGCGACTAGGGTCTCTTGTATTCCTCGGTGTGATATTAATTGCTGCGTGCCATGCCCGCGATGCTCTTATCACTGAGCAATTGTCGCTAGGCGTTGGGCATGCGTCCCGACCGCGATCCGTTTGCGTTGCCTGGCACAAGAGAGGCTTATCGCTGCAGCGGCGTCTGTCAGACCCCGCGACTGATGGCGGAGAGGGCGAGAAAAGACAAATATTTCCTCGGCGCATAGCGGGCCCCTAATTTCCAAACGCATTAAATGTTTCAAGCGCAGTAAGGCGTAATGGACGGTGGATGTCTCCCTCTTGCGAAATGTATAGATGCGAGTGTGCGTAGAAGCCTTGTACTTCATGAGAATTGAGAAATTGCAAAAGTTGCGCAACTCTTAATCTACGGTGGGTTGAATTTTAAAATATTTGGTGAAGTCATTTAAGGTCATGCCAACTCGGGACTTGTTTTCGGGGCCAGTAAGTGTGGAGTATTGTGTGTTGTGGGCGGGTGTTCGTTCGAAGATCCGTGCCGAAGGGCGCAAGGCCACTGCTGGATGGAAGCGGCGCGCGCCGAAGAGCGAAAGGGGCGGCGACGGAGAGGCGACCGGCGAGGGCTGTTCACCCCGGTCTCGTCCGTCAAGCACCTCCCCACTCACCTGCGCGCGGTCGGCCTCGCTATCTCTGTCTGTGAAGGTCGCTATCGCACCCCGCCTGCTCGACCGCGGCCCCGTCGTCGTGGCGCTCCTTGCCCGTGTGCGCTACCCGCTCCCCCCCCCGTTCCGTGGCGCGGGTGTGCGCGACGTTGTCGACAACGGCGACCGCGTCGTTGACTGCCGGAGCCGGGGCGGCATCGTGCGCGGCGGGCAGTCGTGGCCGCAGGCATGCGGGGCAGGGCCGAACTTGCGGTAACTCGATTCCCTGACGCCAGTCCCCGCGCCCGTCCCGCCTCCGCCGCCTCCTCCGCCTGCGCCTCCGGCTCCCGGCTCCGCACCGCTCCCTACGTCAGCGGACGCCGCATCTTCCTCCTCCTGCTCTTTCTCTCCACGTCCCCTCGATCGATAGAGGGTATCGCGCTGCATACCACCGCTCGCTCGTATTCCCTTCCTCCCGACTCCTAGCCGGACAATTAAGTTAGCGGCGTCGTCGGTAGCGCCTGCCGCGGGCGCCGCCGCGCCGGCCGCCTCCTCCCCTCTTCTTCCTTCGCCTCCGCCTCCGTCCCGCCCCCCTCCTCCTGCGCCGCCGCCGCCGCCGCCGCCGGGAGCACCCCGCTTGATGAAGCCATCTTTTGGAAGGACGCGGATTTCCTGCACGGCTTGCGGGGCACGCGAAAGGCAGCGCGGGGCGGCGAGCTCTCGGAGCCCTCGTGGCCCCATTGGCCCCTGAGCCTCGCTGCCCCGCCCTGCAGCGCCTTGGGCCAGGTCGCGGGGCGCGCCCCTGCGCCTCCGCGTCCCTGCTCTCGCTTCGGAGGCAAGTGTTGCCTGCCATAGGGGATGCGCACACACTTTCAGAACATAACATTTCGTTCAAAACATTCCATTGCTGACACATCACTTGTACAAAATATTTATTTTATAACACTACTCCATGAATATTCACTGTAACGATTTTTAAACTATCTCAAAATTCATATAAGTTTTTTTTCCAAATTTTCTCGAGAAAATGCGAGAAATAATTTCGTATTCCGTTAAGTTGTAGCGATTTATGATTTGAAAAAGCAAAAAAGAAACTGAATGCGAAAACCTTTGCCTAATATTTTTGATAAGAATCGAACAGATAGATTTCAAACCCGCTCCTTTTTTATTATCATTCTTACAGTTAAAAATGAAGCCCTTTCTCCTTGCGAATAGAAAATTTGTTTTTCTCTCTAGGGTGTAGAGCGTTGATGCGTTTAAAATTATTGATTCGCTGGGCATGTTTTATTGTTTCGTTTCCTTCTCGCCAACCAAAGCAACAGTGGAAGCAACAGAAGGTGGCTTTAAATGGGTTTCCGCAGAGCAACACGCATGGCCGTTCGCGGAGCGCGCTGCGGTCGCTCTCTTGCTCAGCAGCCGGCGGCGCCCATTGTCCAGAACCGGAATGAAATTTTTGCAAGGTCGTGAGTGGATGATATGGTGACCGAGGCCATGGAGTTGGCCGCGACGCCTCGCGCCACGTTGCCTCCCATCTGTCGATAGGCGCGCAACGAGGTCGCGCCCCAGCCGGATAGGCAGCGCAACGCCCACACGCCGTCCCCGCCAGTCCCCGCGTCACGCCCCCGCTTACGCATTCAGCAGGCGCGGGGAGCGGTGCCGGGTGGGCGTCGACCGCCTCTTCTCCGCGCCTAACGCGCCCTCGCAACGCCGCGCCGACCCTCTCCGCTGGCGCCTCGGCCGACGTCAGCCTACTTCCGCGCCGCTTTGCATGCGCACGGCGCCTCTTCCCGTCCTCCGCCTCGTCGTCGTTTTCCAACGCGCCCCCGAAGCACGCCGCCCCCGCCCCGCCCCGCGCCGCGCCGTGCTCGCGCTTTTTTCCCTTCTCCGCGCCTGTGCCGTTCGCCGTGCCGTTGCCCGCACCGCCCAACAACACCTTCGGGAGGCATTTGGGCCTGTCAACCCACGCCCGAGGAGGGAACGTGCAACGAGAAAATACAGCGTGCGCCGACGCCCATGCACGCGGAAGCAGGGACGCCCTCCGCCTGGCGGCCATCGGCACAGCCTCGTGGAAGCGCAGGGGCGTTTTTTATACTTACTTTATAATATTGAGAAGGTAATGGAAGTGTGCAGAAAACCTGTTTTGATTTTCACCTAGCCGCTCAACTCCACATTCCATATTCCTGAGATACCAGATTTCTAAGATTTTATAAAAATGACATTGCCTTTTCATTTCCACTCATGAATGTTTCGAAACATATTTTTGAAATGTTCATTCTATTCACTATGCTTACAGATGTATACCTGAGTCAGTATTTTGGATTCATTGGTTGAAATCTGTTTTATTTGAGCGGTTTGACCATAGTAATAAGTGGTTCGTTATGCCGTCAATGATGAGCGTAGTTATGGAGCGATTGGTGGACTAAGGTTTCTGAATGAAGAATGTTTTCTGAAAATTTAAACAAATTTATTAATAAAAAATCCATTGACATTTGAACTCCTACAAGTGAATGCTTTGGAAATTGAATCTCTCGTGTCTTGTTCGTACATTTTCTCGATATCATGATTGTCTTAGATTACTCTGCTCTATATTTTTTTTTTTAAAAAAACGAGTGTTTAGTTTTGAATACTTTCCCCTACCCCCTTAATTATGAAATGCTGATTCCAAATATGTTATCGGTTTCCTCTATTACGTTTAGCTTTTTTAAAATTGAAAACAAAATTTTAATGTTTACCCAGGACTGATATGTATATTTATATCATTCCAAAGTTGATTGTCATGATTGAGAAAGTTGAGTTTATTAGAATTATGTCATCATGTAATTGTGAACGAAATGCACGTACATTTTACAAGACATACCAAGAATGGATATAATTTATACTTTTTAGAGGCAAACATTTTGTTGACTTCTTCCATAAACATGAGAAAAAGTATTTTCCCTTTTTAGGACCAACTGTAGTCTGCCATCATGTTAGCACCATGGTATCTTCTTTCAAAGCTTTTAAAATCTTGGTGAAACGTTCATGTTCCTCGCTGTGAAATCCAGGACAATCTGAAAAACATTGACTATCGATGTGATAATATGTAAGTGTATCTTTAGACTCGTGTTAGAGACTAAATTTCTCAAATATTCCAACATTGTGTTTACTGTGATTTTGTAATCTGGACTCCTTATGTTTCCCAGGACGTTTTATCCACATCTTTGTAGCTATGACACTCTCTTTTTCTGTTTGGATAATTATATTCTCATAATTCAGGTAACACATTACTTTACGGACCTGAGGTCCAGTAAAGCACCTGTTTTAGCTTATCTAAAGACATTCTGTGATAAACACAACATATGCACACTCATTGTCTTTCTCTAGGGCACGTACAAACTGGTGTAAATCATTAAACACATAAATGGTGTAATCACACATTATTATGTACTTTCCATGCCATACAATGGTATATAAATGGGTACCCAATTACATCACCAGCAATTCAAGGAAATGAGCGAACCTTTCGTTTTAGATAATGAGATAGTCCATTTCTTTTTACAACAAAATGGTCTGTCATCTGTTACATATTTCATACTGCGATTCAGGTACATCGCAGCTGTTCAAAAAAATTTAAGTTAGAAAAATAACTGAAATATTCAAATTTCTCCTGGATTTGGAGCTTGAAACTTTTAGTGTAAAGCCTTGCTCTGCGGACAGATAAGATAAGCACACATTGGTTGCACAGGGGGCGTTGAGCTAGCGATACATTCTGAGGGCTTCTCAATTCCTCACTGTACGCACCATACAAAATAATACCGATGAAAGTGGTACTTGCAACTTGCAGTTGGTATCGGCATCTAAAAGTTTGCGTCTGAACCACATATCGCCTTAATTATCACAAAAAATTAAAGCGACCTGCATCGCTAAGGCGGCAACGCTTTGGCATGCTCGAATCGAACGGTTGCGAGTTGGAATCTTGCCTCGCCGTTGA